TATACAGGTAACCCCCGTATAACACGGTAGTTACGTTTCAAAAAATTGCCGTGTTATGCGAAACAAAGAACTAGTACGAAAAGGAGGGTTAGGTTCCAAAAATTAAAAAACATGCTACTATATTTTCACAATTAAGATAAATATCTTTATTAAAATTTTCTTAAGCGATACATATTAATATAAATTAAACAATGTTTTCTTTGTCATCACTAAGCACTATTAAGGGCGTTTTTTTTTGGCAAGATATCCTTATTCTCAGAGCATTTTTCTGCATTTTCTTCAGATCCATGCTCTACCTTTTGCAAAAAATGTTATTTTAGATTGCTTGCTTTTAGTTAAAAGATCTTTATGAATTTCCTTATATGGTGCTAAGCACTTATGAAGAATCAAGCAAGTATGGAATAAGGGAAAACATCTGGCAATGTAAAATCAGAAGCATCAAGATATGGCAACATGAAAAAGTTTCGAGAAGGATTACATGTATCGACAGAAGGCGGAAAAGAATATTTACATACTTAAGTACTAATAGTTTACGAAAATTATTATTTTCGTGAACTATTAGTACTTAAGTATGTGAAAATTTATTACATTTCATGTTATACAAGGGTTTTACCCAATTCTTGAACTGTGTTAGAGTGAATCCATGCAATAGAAGTGTCGTATTATACAGGGGTTACCTGTATTTTTACAGTGATTGTATCCTTGTATTAATACTGACATCTCGGAACTTTTCAGAATACAGCAACAACCAAATAGTATAGACTGCAGTACATATGGAATTGCTTTTGGTGTCAAACCCGCTACAATTCAATATGATCATAGATAAATGCATTCTCACTTGTTGAAAATCTTTATTTGTCTAAATTATAGCATTTTCCACAGACTCCATTTAAATTAAAGGTGTTGTTGGAAAAAATTCAACCTTTGCCACTTTCTCCAAATAATAATTTGAAATATATTTAAAGAATTATTTTCAAATNAAATTATAGCATTTTCCACAGACTCCATTTAAATTAAAGGTGTTGTTGGAAAAAATTCAACCTTTGCCACTTTCTCCAAATAATAATTTGAAATATATTTAAAGAATTATTTTCAAATTTATCTTTCCATTTATTTTTCCGCTATTAGAATCCACGTGCAACATTTTTCATCTTACGGCCTTCCACAGACAAATACATTGTAGCTGAATTAATCTAACTGTTTATAAAGCATGAAATGAAAAAACCAATGATATCTTCAAAAACATACCTGTAAACTTTACAGATACAGAAACTGCCATCAAGAATGCATAGATCAATCGTTCTCAAATTATTACCATTTTATCTTACTTGTTAGATGTACACAAAACATAGTCATTGAATGAAGATTTCATACTTTATTATGTTTCACATTCATAATTATTTTGCTATGGAAAGTTGTGATAATGGGAACATGAAGTAATCATTCCAACATTAAAAGACGTAACAGTGAAATAGTAAAATATCAAGAATTTTCATTACTTACAGTTTTGGTATTGGTGTCAATGTCATTTTAATAAAACGATATTTCAGTTTTCAAATGCACACTTGTGGATTTGAAACAGACTTATTTCATTACTAATTAAATTATTCCAAAGTTTATTTCAAGGTAACTCCTTCAAACTGGTTATAATCATATTATATACACTTATGCAAAAGTGAAAGGAATTTTGATACGTCATGAAGTGTGCATTTGAAAATTGAAATATTGTTTTATTAAAAATGACATTGGCACCAATACCAAAACCATATATAATGAAAATTTTTGACATTGCTATTACAGATTTTGACATCTAAATGATTACTTGATGTTCTTGATATCATGACTTTCCATAGCGAAATGATTGCGAATGTAAAACGTTGTCATTGAATGTGTGTTTCATAATTTATTGTGTTTCATGTACATTGAACAAGTAAGATAAAATGGTAATAATTTGAAAATGATTGATCTACACATTCTTGACAGCAGTTTCTGTACATGTTTTTGGACATTAATTTACAGTTGCCTCCCCCCATAACACTGTTAATTATTCTGTTTTATATGAATTCCATGTTGTACGAGTCACTTAGATTTTACAAATATATGAGCCGTTCACAGCTAAGCACACATATCTGTCAAATCTAAGTGACTTGTACAACGTGGAATTCATATAAAATGGAATAATCAACAGTGTTATGGGGAGGTTAACTGTATTTTAAAATAAAATGTTTTAAGCATTTGGCTCTACCCAACTTCTTTCACATATCAATGTAGGGTAATTGAATGCCAACTAATCTGTAGATTGTGCATGTAAGATTCTAGTATAGACTAGACACTACTCCCACACAGCTTAAGACAAAGACTAATACATGTAGTAATGAACAAAGGACATCTGTACTATTGTCAGCACAAGTATGAGTGAATGAAATTCACATGTCAGGAGTAGTGATGTGCCGGATATCCGTATCCATATCCGTATCCGCGGATATCCGAGGGAAAAAAAAAATCCGTATCCGTATCCGTATCCGTTACTTTTTAGCGGATCTTTAACGGATCTTTTATCTTAATGAATTTCATTACTTATATGAAATTTTAAAGATAGGTAGCAATAGCACATTCGTCATTTACTATCGTAAAATATTTCCATATTACACTACTAAATTTTTTTGTCGGCATTGTTTTTATTTTAATTTAACTCAACACTCTCCAAAAACACAAACGTAATCTACGCTATCCCGTGTCACACTAGCCACAAACCAGTGTTTCCCAACGTGGGGCCCACGCCCCACAGGGAGCAATTGGATTGCTAAGGAGGGCAATTCGAAAATGGACTTGTACTTGTCCAGAGTTTAAGTTAACAGTATAGCCGCTGTATATGTTAGGGAGACTAGAATTTTAGAAAGGCTTAGGTGGGGCATAGCAAAAAAAGGTTGGGAAACACTGCACTAAACTATTGTGGCGGTACGCTATATTTTTGTAAATATTAATTTTAGTTTAGTTTCGTTTCTTCTTTCTACCCTTTGTTCTATTGTTCTATTTTCTTCTAAAACTTTCTTATCTATTCTCTGTCCCTTGGCTGGGATAAGCAGTTCCTAGAACTTTGAGGAGCAAAGGTGTAAACAGAAGCCGGAGAAAAAAAAGAAGTGACGTAGCAGATCATTCGTAAACTGGACAGCAGAGTGTACGGACGAGGTGAGAATACTGGGAGTCGTATTTTCAATGACCGGATAGTTCAGAAAAAAGATCGTGTTTTAAGGTCGTATTGACGACTGTGGAAGAAAAAATCCTAATTATTGAAGAAGAGAACTGGCCAGTTATAAGAGAAGGGCGTGTGTTATCCCACCCAACAGTATGCATAAAGAAACAAGCCGAAAAAAGGGACAAAACCCCAGATATCTCTATTTCTATCTTATCTATCATTTTTTCTGTCTTCTTAATTCTATCCCTTTTTCTGTTATTAGTGTTAAGTTAGTGTTTAAGGTTAGTTTTAAGGTTCCGGGTTATATTGTCGCGATCGGGATCTGTATTGTACACGTGATTTGGATACAGCGAACTATTATTATCGCTGTAATTTCGCATGCTACTGTTTGTACCGTGAAGTTGGAATCCCCCGAAATAGAATCTGTATAAAGACGCAAAAAAGCTCAATTGGAAAATTATATTAACTTTTGTTACTTTATCCTGTCTGCCTTTGTGGTGAATTCTAATTTAGCACATTTTTACACCATAAACAAAAACACGCGCAGTGCAAGTCAAAACACGTCGCGTTATTAACGCAAAGCGTCAACTATCGGTCCAAGGTCACACGCACCGGCGCTGACTGAGTACGAAAGTTGAGATCCGTATCCGTATCCGTATCCGTGGATCTAGACACGAATGATCCGTATCCGTATCCGTATCCGCGGATATACATTTTTAACGATCCGGCACATCACTAGTCAGGAGCAAGGTAAGCCTTGTCAAAAATGCTTGGACAGTGTTGCCAATCAAACTTTGGATCTGCCAAAAACTTCCCCACTAGTGTCTATGACACAAAATGAGCAAGAAAGGATATGTGTTGGCTAAAATGTGTAGTTTGTTGTGATGGCACTGTATTGTCTGTAGCATATTTTCTCTTCACTGGAATTGGCATTGGGGAGGTTGGGAGTGGACATTCCGGCTTGTACTCTGGGAGTATGATAGTTTTATCTGCTAAATGGAAACTACAACTTCTTTTCCATTTATGTTTAATGTGAATGTCTTGCTATTGCATGAGAGGACATTGTAGATTTGTCATATGGAGGCTGTAAAGGCTTCTGTACATAATCACAGCACGACTCCATTCTTTGTAGATAAGTTGTGAGAGGAATGGTGCACTCTAGGCACTGGTTTTAAGTTTGTCATCACTGTCCTGAGAACTTGGAATGAAAAATTCTTGCAGTAGTCTGAGGCTGGTGCCATAAAGCATGCTGCTCTCTGTGGAGGAGTGTATGTGGCACTTCCATACATCTTTCAGTAGGAGTGACACTTGATAAGTCTTAAGTGAATGATGAAAATGTTCAACGCAGACAGATGGCAAGAAACAAACTTCGAATATTCCAAATGGAGTTATAATGGTCATCTTTGATACATCATCTGGGTTAACCAATATAAGATGGAAGGCTCTGACCAAGTTGATTTTGGAAAATATTTACACTCCTCATAAATTTTGAGCAGAATCGTGAATATGTGGCACTGAATAATGATTGGAAATAGTTATTCTGTTCATGTCACAATAATCTCTGGTAATCATTAGGGCCCCTTTGTACCATATGGAGGGGAAAAGCCCAATTGGATTTTGATGGTTGCCATATACCTAGTTCCATAGTGTGGTGGAATCCCTGCCTCACTACTCATGGTTAGCAGAGTGCAGTCTATGAGGTTTAGCATATACTGGTGGTCCACATGTCTTTATATAATTTAGTGTTGTGCATGACCTTGTGTGAAAAAGGCTATCGGCAAGTGAGTTATGGGAAGTCCATGAGGCACTGAAGAATCAGGGTTTACAGTTTTGATTGACATAGGTGGTCTTGTGTAATATCTTCCCTGTGTAGTGAGGGCAACCTGTAATCTGTTTCTGATAAGTTCAAAGTAGGCTAAAAGGTGCACCAATTATAGGCTTCTAAAGAATTTAACATAAATCATCCAATACCAATTTTTGAGTTTAACTAGCAGTGTATCATGATTGACAGCATCAAAAGCCTTTGCCAAATATAAAGTAACTGTATTAACTGTAGTACTTTTATCTAAATTTGGTGTCAAATAAGTATGATAGTATTTGAAGCATGTAGAAATTTTAATTTAATTTGAATACAATAATAGAATTTTTGTTTATATACAATTAATAGTATTGTTGTTTTCCTTTTTAGTAGTCCTGAAGGTTATCCAGCCGAAAAGGAAACTAAACAAAAATCTCCAGAAACTGTGAAACCTCCAAGACCTCCCAAAAAATCTAGTGAAACCTCCAGGTATAATAAAGAACCTGACGGTAATAAAGATAACCAAATTGGTAGATCCAGAGATAGAAATTCCAGGCGACATCATTCCCCAGATTCTAGAAAATCTAAAAATAGAACAGAAACAGACTATTCTAGCAGAGATGACAATAAATCTAGAAGACGACAGAGTTCTAGAGAAAAGACTTCCAGATCTGATAGGAAGAGTTCACCCGATCATCATTCTAGAAGCAAATCCTACCATAAAGATAGTAAGCATTCTAGCAAAAGTAATAGAAGGAAAAGTGAAAGAGAGAGCGATAACAAATGTTTGGAAAAAGGTAAGACGACGCCCAAATCAAAGGAGAGACGTGGTCCGATATCGTTTGAGTCGGAAGAAGAAGAAGAACTGTTCCAAGCAGAAAAGCACTCCCAAGAACAACCCGAGGCATCTAAGTCTCCCATTATAGCTTCTGAAATTAAAAGTCCAAAAGTCTCTCCACAATTGGTTGATTCCCCCAAATATAACGTAGAAGTTCAAGAAACTCAAGAAGAAAATCAGCCAGAGACAAGCGAACATTATGTAAATAAAGGAAACGACGAAATAATGCCAGAGGCCGACGACAAAAATAAGCCCGAAGAATGCGAAGAGAAAGCAGAACCTCCTCTTGAAAATGATACTAACTTAGAAGTAGAAAAGGAGCAGACTGTAGAAGAAATACAAATGGAAAAGGAAGGTAATGTAGAAGATATATTAAATTCTGGCAAACCAGATCGCTATGGTAATTCTCCTATGGAGATAGATTCAGAAGGCATAGTGGAATCGCCAAAAAAAGAAGAAACCGTCCACCAACCATTGGAATTGCTTCTTCCCGAGAAAATTCCCTTGCCAGAAGAGCAATGTGCACCTTTGTCTTTGCCTTTGCCCATCGTTGAACAAGATGAGAAGAAAGAAGTAAGTTAGTTATTTAATTTCAGGCGTGTCCCATAAATATAGTTTTACCTAGTAAAATTAGTTTTTAAAATGATAATTAATTCTTGACATAATTATTACATAACGATCACATTCCAATGAATATTTTTATTTAAAATTTAATAAATAAATTTATATTTTTCATTTTTTTTATTATCCCATAAATATAGGTCCAGTATAAAAAAATTTTTTTTTTAATTACCAAATTTTATGTAATTAAAACATATTTTTGCCACCAGAGAGTGCTAATTACTGAATTGCAAATGGTGGCAAAATTTCAAACAAATTAATTAATATTTTGTGTGAATTTTCAATGTTAATTTATCACGGTATGTTCCAAGGGACTTTCAAACATAGAAACAGGGCTAATTATGGCTTGGACGGAATCTAGACTATCAAATAGACAAATTGCAATAAAACTCAAAAAGATCTCATAATTTAATTAACAATTTTATACATCTAGGGGACGCATATGGTACAAAAGGACGGTCTTTCAAAGTAACTTCATGAATAAAACATTTAAAAGAAATTGGTGATAATTCATCATCTATACGTCAAATTGTGGTAAGACCCAACATTCTGGTATCAAAATCAACAGTTTCCAGAATTGTAAAAGCTTTACTTTGTAAGAAAAGAAAACCCATCTCTGCCTTAACAAATGCACACAAGCAGAAGAGGTTAAAATGGGCCAAAGAAATTATGGATTGGAAAGAGAAATGGAGTGATGTAAAAAAGTTTTATTTGGATGCCAGTATTATTGGCATGGTTTAAAATGGGAAGAAGAGAGATTCAAAATGTCAACAAGGTGGCAGTTCTGAGACGATACTGGCATCATTTGGATGGAATGGAAAGTCTAATGTGGCATTCATACAGGGCAGAATCAGAATGAATGCAAATGACTATCAAGAAATGCTAGAGACATATCTTACCATAGGAGACCCAAGATGGATCTTCCAACAGGACAATGCCTCAATACACAATACCAAGTCTACCTATGAATGGTTTTTGTGTAATGGAGTGCAGTTTTGGATTGGCCACCTTGCAGTTCTGATCTCAACCCCAATGAAAACATGTGGGGAATGCTTGCTAGAGCTGTGTATGCAGGAAGCAAGCAATACTCCACAGGAACTGAAGAATGCTATAGTGGTTAAATAGGATAAAATTGAAAAAACACCTGTAAACCTTAATCAAATCTATGCAAATCGTGTATATAATTCGATTTTGACTAAGGGAGGTCATATTGGGCTTAAAAAATATTTTTTATTATATTTTGTTACTGTTAGGTCATACTCCCTATATTCATGGAATACTAAAAAATTGAAAAATGAATTGTATAAATTATATTTATTGGAATATAACTTATGTAATAATTATGTCAACAATTAATTACTACTTCATTTCTTTGAACAATTAATTATACTAGGTGGACCTATATTTATGGGATGCACCTTAGTAATTTTAAGAATCTTAAAGTTTACTTTTCCATCTCATAGGAGAAAATAGAAAAACCAGAAAGCAGTCAGATTAAATCCAAACCAGAGGACCTCAATAAAGACGAAAAGTTAGTATAACATTGCTATTGTAATTTAAAAAGTGAATATAAATGTAATTAAATTTTTTGTGTTGTGGAAATAGAAAGGAAAAAAAGGAGAAACAGTCGACCGTCGAAAAGAAGAGTCACACTGGCAGACGTCACAGAAGTCGTTCCCGGAGTCGTAGCCAGGAAAAGTCTCCGTCACAAAAAAGTTCTGGTCGTGGCGGGCGGTCTTTCCGGCACAGGTCGCCCGTTCGAAGACGTTCCAGATCCCGTTCTAGAAGTCAGAGTTATCGGAATGTGAGGAGGAGATCCAGATCGCCGGACAGGAGCCGCCGCCGCTCCAACAGTCGCAACCGGCCTACCAGAATCCGACAGCGTTCCAGAAGCAAGAGCAGATCTCACAGCCGCGACCGAGCTCTCCGCAACAGAGGCTGGAGAAGTCGTCAGGGTTTTGGATGGCGACGCACCCACTCTCGCTCCAAGTCTCGCTCGCGTTCCAGGTCGGTCCGGAGACGCAGCAGAGACCGTCGAAGACGAAGAAGCAGCAGCAGCAGTCGGAGTAGCAGAAGCAGCAGCAGCAGTAGCAGTCACAGTCGGAAGAAGAGCAAAAGCCACCGACCGAGAAGAGGTTCGACGTCTAGCGGTTCCGCCTCACGCTCTCACAGTTCACGTTCTTCCTCTTAATTGTTCCTTCGGTTATTGAGTGTACAGACGAGGACCTTAATAGATAGTCTGCACGTCAACAAAACATTCGTTTATATAGAAAGCCATTTCACAATCATTTCTTCACATGTCTGTCTGTCCCGTATTTTGACGATGACTCTGCCATCACCATAAATAAATTTGGCTGTAAGAAGAGTTTTCTGGATTTTCTTTAGGGGATACAAAATTATTTCAGGATATTTATTCTGTCTAATAATTTGGATAGAAAGCAAAATGGAATGACAGATCACAATTAAGTTAGACTAACCTAATTGAAATACTAAAAAAATATAAAATCACCAAAAATAAATGAAGCTTCAATTTTTTAAAAGCTTAGTAAAATAAACCATGGCAACCTTTAACCTAGGACTTTAAGACAACGTTTAAAGTAGGAGCCTTTGGCACAGAAACACTCATCCCATTGAAAGGGATCTTTTGGCATATTTGTGCATTCGAAGTGATGTCCTTCATGGTTACAACGGGCATCCCCTCGAGCCCCAGTTATCAGTCATTTCTACGTGCAAGATTTAAAGGAAAGGACAAGACAAATGACAGGAAAGGTGGTTTCTGCATCTCAGCGGCACAGAGTCGCTCGTTGCCATTAAGCAGTAATTACTTACTGCCAAGACCCCGTCACTGCCACCGCCACACTCGTCAGTCTTGCTCCAAATGACTTCTGGCCATTCCCTATGTCGGAAAAGGGTATGGAGACAGGCTTCGCAACCGTGGAGGACGTTGAATCGAGTGTAGCGGTTGAACTCCCAAATATTCCAAAAGAAAAACCTTCCAATGATGGCAGGATCGATGACCCACTTGTGTGCCAAAGGGTCTTATTTTGAAGCTGATTAGGTGAGCATTTCCATATGTTTTCCCATAATTGTGATATAGCAATGCAATGGTAACTTTTGATTGCGTGTGTTTACCAATTCATCATCTGGTGCATTGCTCTTTAAGTTGCGCAAACCGTGCGATGCAGTGGGCCAATACAGCAATCAATCAAATGTATGATCAGTTTATCAAAATTAATGTTCAATCATTCTTTAGGCTGTGTACACATTAGGCGTTTTGAAACACGTGCTATGGTAATGCGCATTTTAAAGAACCAAGAGTTCTGCATAAGTATACACACCCAAATCTGCATTGATAGATTTTGGTTAGAATGTACATTTCGTGGGCGTCAGCTGCACGCTTTGAGATACATGTGCTGCCATGTTGTTGTACATTCGATCACGCAGTTTCGGGTAGAGTGAATGCACATTCACCAAAATGGAGAACGATCATTTCGATAGTGATATATTTATTGATGAAATCTAAAAGAGACCAGCCATTGTCAAATGATTTTATAGATATTCTAAAAGAATTAAAAAACTTCGGTTCATATTGTCTTAGTTTTGGATACAACGTCACAAATATTCCATGCGTCAGTCTATCTTGTAATATTGGATGCACCCAAAATTCTCTTTGCCTCTGCCATCGTCTTTTATAGCGACAATGGAGGAGCCACACACAAGCAATTACTTTCATGTCCATTTCCAAACTGAGCCAGTGTGCATGCTCTACTAAATGGTCGTCGAGCGCCAAGCTAACGCACGTTTAACACAACGCAAAACGCCTTAAAGGGGATTTTAACTCTAGAGGTCAGACTTGCTTAATGTTAATAATCATGAAAGTTCATGTTATCAGAGACCTTAAAGTTATTGTATTTGTTTTTTTTCCTTCTTCAAAAGAGTTTAGTAACTACTGTCAATATCCAAATGCACGAAAATTCAAATTTCCTTTCCGACTTATGGAGGATAAGTAACTTCAAAATTCTAAAACATTACATTAATAATGAAATAAAAAGGTAAAAGACAGACCAACTTTGCAGAGAGAAACACTTTAATTACTTTGGTACATCCCGTACATACATTTCTCCAGTAGGGTTATTTCGTACACGGCTCAAATTCCGACAATTATCCATCACAGGTTTCCGTTTTAAGCTACAACTTATATACCCGACAAAAGTTTCCCAGCATGCTGCTGTCAACATGTTCCTGTCTTTAAATTTTCCCAGCATGCTGCTGTCAACATGTTCCAGCATGTTCCTGTCTTTAAATTTTCTCTTTAATGTTATAAACAATTTTAATGTTGGAATATAGGAGAATTATTAACTTTCAATCTTACGGCTGCTTGATGTTCCAACAATCTGATCTTCAATTTCCTTTTCGTTTCCCCAATATAGAAACTTGGATCAATACACCACTCCTTCTTCTGATGGGTCTTTTTTTAATACCTTCCACAACCTATTATTTTGAGTTGGAGCCAGTTTAATTATAACAATATCCTTAATCAAGCTTTATTTTTCAAATAAACCTTTTATATAAGTCAATATCTTCATCATCATTGCCTTTTCCCATGTTTATATGGGTTTGGCATCTCCTCCTCTAATATGTTTCCTCCATTTCTTCTTATCAAGGGCATCTTCTCTCTTAACTCCCCTCTGATTCAAGTTTTTCTCCATCTTATCTTTCCAATGCAGCTTTGGCCTTCCTCTTTCCGACATAATCTGTTTCGCTCTACGTGGCCAAACCACCTCAACCTGCAGTCTTGCATCTTCCTGCTCAAGGGACCAACCTTAACAGAACCTCTAATAATCTCATTCCTTATTCTGTCTTTCCTTGTAACTCCACACACGTATCTCAACATTCTCATCTCTGCCATTTACATCTTTTGTTCTTGGGCTCTTGTGATTGCCCATGTCTCGGCCCCATACAACATTGCAGGTCTAACAACTGATTTGTACAACTTACCTTTCAGTTTGCAGCTAACTTTCTTGTCACCTAACACAACACTCAGCTTCCTTGAGTTCAACCATCCACATTGAATTCTATGTTGCACTTCAGAGTTCAATCCTCCCATATCTTGACAAAGGTCCCTAGATACTTAAAACTTGGAATCACAGGAAGTGGCGCATTTTAGATTTTAATATACTGTCAATATCTGAGATCATGTATTTTTTACAAAAAGTTATCGTGTAGCAAGAATGTATTTTTGAAACATTTTGATCATTCTCTTGGATGTTGGTTTGCTTTTGGTTTGTAGCCACAGGGTGAAGACTTAGGCAGTTGCTGATGGTGTTTAGATTATTTCAACCAACGTGGGGCTTTCGGAGAATGGTTGTACGAGTGTCATAGAGTTTGGTCCAGTTATTTAAATGAAAGGTAGTGTCATTATCATTGAGATGGTAACTACACTTGTTGGTTTGATGAAGGCCACGCTTGTGAAGTGGTTGGTGATGAGCATGTTAGTCCAGGCACAAGTGATGAGAAAGTGTGGGTGTCGGATGGCATTGTATATGATCAGATCAGAGGGGGACAGAGATTGGATAGCCAAGGGCAATGATCTTTTTAGTTAGTCCAAGCATTATTCATGTCCCTGGTGTTATCAGTGTCGACGATGGTGATGAAGTATCAGCAGCGGTGATAGGTGTGTATTGGTTCAGGTGCTTTTACCCAGGGTATCAGCTTTGTGATTGATGGGGATGCCGGTATGGGTGGGGACCCATTGATGGGATGGAATTTGTAATCATGGTGGGATTGGTGGTTAATGGCCTGTGCAATGTTGCGGATGCCATTAACCACCAATATAGAAGGGGAAGAGTCAGAGATGCAAGAGGGCAGATAGGATGGATTTGGAATCTGTACAAATGGAAATATTGGTGTGATTGACAGGAGGGTGGATGATTGCTTGAAGGATGGTTACTCCTTCAGCAGTAAAAGTACTAGTCATCGGGTGGAAGGGAGCATGACTATTGGAAATAAGGTCAATATAGGCAGTGTAACACGATTAGTGAGTTTGGAAGCATCTGTACCAATAAGGTGGAGATGGACTGGGAGTCGAATAATGCAGTGACAATGGGCCTGGAAAGGGAGATCACTAAGGTGAATGAGTGTATTGATGGGTGTAAAACAGCATTGTGAGAAGAGGGAATAAGTCAGGATGAATGTGATGATTCCCCAGCCATAACAAGGTGTGGTAAATACATATATTTACCACACCTTGATGTATCTTGATGAGGGCAGCATAATCGGGGTGGTGGCTGAGATTCCAGATGATGCTGAGGTGTTGACATTGCAATGGTTGTGATAACGGAGGGTAAGGGATGGTTGGTTGACAACATGGGGTAGTGATGTTGGCAGTGCATTTAGGGAGGCCTAGGCTAAGTTTCATGTAACGTTGGTGGATGGATTTGAGTAACCAAATGACTTGGCTGACATTAAGGGAAATGATGGCTGGAATGATATATTCGAGGATGCTGCCTATGGTGCTGTCTGCGATGGAGAGGTCACAAGGAATCCACCATGATTGTTATTAGAGAAGATTTTGAAGATATCGAGTAATTTGTGGCATTTATTGTGGATATAGGTAATGTGAGGGTTCCAGGAATGATGGGAATCAACAAATAGACGAAATATCTTGACAGAAGATGTAAATGGCATAAGTTGACCCTGGATGGTGAAGGTCTGGTTGTGTGGTCAGGTTTGTATTTGAGTGTGTTATAGGTATCTTTGGTGGTGGTAGTGGTGTTAGAGGCACATTTGGCAGGAAGTTTAAGCCAGGTTTCGTAATTGTTGTGGGGAGGTGTTAGTGGTGACAGTGAAGGAAGAAATAATAGATGGAGTGTTATAATTTATTAATCATGAATTCAAGGATTTTGATTGTTTAGTGATGCCTTGTTGAATGGCAATAAGTTGGTCAGTTATATAAAATTATGTTTTGATTTGGAATTTAGTCGGTTTGTTATTTATTGCAGTGATGATGGTTTTTTGGGTGTGTGTGACTTTGCTATTGTATAGTCTTTGAGTGGATATTTTCTTGGATTTACTTGATTTTATGACAGTCCTGGTGATGTTAGGGGGAGCATTATGTTTGCACTGCTAGTCTAAAGATAACTTTTTCTGTTTGGTAAAAATGGCAGGTGGTAGATGTATAGCCATGTGGTTCGTGTGGCACTCCTGCAGTATTTCCCAGAGTGGCCACAATGGTCGCATTTATTACATAGGAATATGCGGATAGGATCGGGTATATGAGTGTTAACGGTCAATGTGGCTGCAGACTACAGTCAATTAGCTTTGTCTTTATTGCAATGGAAACGTGTTACAAAAATTGGAAGACTG